AGGTTAATTTAATGATTTTTTAGTGAAACTCAGCAGATCTAAAGTGTGTGGGTTTTAAAGGTTGAAGGTCTGGTTTGTCCTCAGCTACTTCAGGTGTGTCTGTCTCGGGCTGCAGGTTCCCAGGTAATAAATTTAATTTATTTATTTTATGATYGCAGCAGAAAGATTTAAATACAGACTCGGTGGAAGTGAAGTTCCTTTCTGTCATCAGGAACCTCAGGTGGTTCGTGTCCTCAGGACTCAGTTTTTTAAATTAATGATCTATATTTGAAGTTCTGCACCTGCAGTCGGTGTTTTGTTGAGTTCGACAGGAGCTCCAGCCTCAACATGACAGTTTCTTACTCTCTGGAGGTGGCCAACGTCAGGTTTTATGGATTCTCCAGGCTTCTGTTCAGGTGGAGGGGAAGCATCTACAGACTGCTGTATAAGGAGTTCCTGGTGTTTTGTGCAGTTTACCTGTTCTTCAGCATCTTTTACAGGTAAATCCACTCAGGTGATGTTTTCACACGCCCCTCAGCTGCCGGGTCTCTGATCTCTGGATCTGTTTCCCAGGTTTCTCCTGACCTCGAAGCAGCAGGATCTGTTCGAGCGAGTCGCTCTTTACTGCGACCAGTTCACCAACACCAACTTCATCCCTGTCCTGTTTGTTCTGGGTATGACCCGCCGAGCCGCTCCGATCACAACCGAACACAAAACCTGCAGAATTGCATCAATCCTGACTGATGTTTCATTTATTGATAACAATCTAACTGGATACTTTGTGATATTTTAGCTGTTTATAAATCAAAAATGTAAAGTTGATGGATCCTGTAACTTTTAGTTTCTGCAAATATTTAACTTTATTTATTACTTTTTCTTCATTAAAACAGAAAAATCTTTACTACTTTTAGTATTTAGCTAACCGTTTGCTTGTTTAATTTTAAACTTTGGCTTATTTTATTTAACCGTATGCTACTTTTAGCATTAAGTAACTTTTTACTACTTTTAATAAATGTGCTGCTGTTAGCCAGCCTTTTAAACTTTTACCAGTTCTTTTGCTACTTTTATCTTCTAGCTAATATTTTGCTACTTTGAACTTGTCTTCAGCTACTTTAAGCTTTTATCTAGACTTTTGGTACTTTTAGCTACACATATGCTGTGTGTAGCTAGAGTTTTGTAACTTTAAACTTGAGTGACCTTCAACAGCCTTTTGCTAATTTTAGCTTCTAKTTGCCTTTTTGCTACKGTAAACATTAAGCTAACATTTTGCCAATTTTRTTTCACCTTTTACTCATTTATGCTTTCAGCTTTWGTCTCTTTTAGCTAGTGTTGTGCTATTTTTAGCTAAGTGCTAGGACTTTTGGTACTTTTAKCTAACATAAGGTGTTTCTGACTTTTAGCTAGCATTTAGCCAGTGTTCTGCTGCTTTTGGTTTAGTTTTACACAGTGAGCACTTGGCTACTTTGAGCTTTAAGCTAACTTTTAGTTAACAATTTACTTTTAGCTAGCATTTTGTTATTTTAATCTGTTAGCTGATATTTTATCACTTTTAAATTCTAGTTATCATTTTGCTTCTTTTTTCTGCAACTTTTAGCTAGCATTTAGCGACCTTTAGTTCCTAGCTAGYATTTTGCTATTTTAAACTAGCATCTTGATATTTTTGAATTTTAGCTAGTGCTTTGTTTCTTTTAGATGTAACCAATGTTCTGCTTTTGTTTTTGCTGTTCAGGTTAGATTTCAGCTGTCATTCAGCAATGTTCAAACTGTATTTTCACAATAAAAGTACTTCCTGTTGTGTATTTGGTGTCTCTGCAGGTTTTTATGTGACCCTGGCCTTCAACCGGTGGTGGGGTCAGTACACCAGCTTCCCGCTGCCCGACAACCTGATGATGGTGGTTTCGGGAAACGTCCAYGGGTCCGACGAGACGGGCCGGCTCCTGAGGCGGACCCTCATGAGATACGCCAATCTGTCCTCGGTCCTGATCCTGCGCTCCATCAGCACCCGGGTCCTGAAGCGGTTCCCGACCCTGGAGCATGTGGTGGAGGCTGGTARGAACCAGGCACCAGGAAAATCAAGTCCAAAAAAATACTTTTATTTTGGATCAAGACCCCTAATCCCAGATTAAATCWGATTATAGATAAGATTAAAGGTGTWTTTGTTTAATTTTGTCACRTTTGCTCAGGATTTATGACGACGCACGAGCTGAAGAAGTTCGARTCTCTGCACTCGGACTTCAACAAGTACTGGATGCCCCTGACCTGGTTCTCCAACCTGGCTTCAAGGGCCCGGGAGGAGGGCCGRGTGAGGGACGACATCGCTCTGAGGCTGCTGATGGACGTGAGAAGAAACACCCAAACGTTTCTTTGTTTATAAATAAATAAAAATTAAACCTGATTTAAAAGTGTTTCTGCTCAGGAGCTGAACAACTACAGAGCAAAGTGCAGCCTGCTGTTCCACTACGACTGGATCAGCATCCCGCTGGTCTACACTCAGGTACCAGATTAGAGTTTATCCTGTCGCTTCCACAGATTACACACAGATTACAGCTGTTCTAACCCTGCTGCTGGCCTGAGGACAAATGTCTCGTCTTCTTCCAACAGGTGGTGACGATCGCAGTTTACTCGTTCTTTGCCTTCTGTGTGATCGGACGACAGTTCCTGAAYCCCGAGAAGGGCTACAGAGGACAAGAGGTGGACATGTACGTCCCCGTCTTCACCCTGCTGCAGTTCTTCTTCTACACTGGCTGGCTGAAGGTCACGTCTCACATGTCCACGTCTCATTGGTCCACACATGTCCATGGACATATGTCCATGTCTCATAGGTCCACATATGTCCATGTCTCATTGGTCCACACATGTCCATTGACATATGTCCATGTCTCATGGGTCCACACATGTCCACGTCTCATTGGTCCACACATGTCCATTGACATATGTCCATGTCTCATGGGTCCACACATGTCCATTGACATATGTCCATGTCTCATGGGTCCACACATGTCCATTGACATATGTCCATGTCTCATGGGTCCACACATGTCCATTGAC